TCAAAATGTTCAATTCTAATACATTCATATGTACATACGTTCATATGTTTGAACGAAAAATTTTAAAATGTTCAATTCTTATACATTCATATGTACATACCGTATATTTGAATAAAAACATTATTTTTTTTATGCCTAAACCTTTTCTTTATTTGAAAAATTTATTTCTGTATGTTAATCCTTATGACTTAATAAATACGTGTTTAAAATTTATTTTTAAATACCAAACCACAGTTTTGAATATTATTCAAGTCATATAGAAAGCTTAAAAAAAATTAGTTACGAAGCCTTAAAAAAAATATACATACATGCTTATGTACTTAAAACTTTTGCGAATTCAAAAAAATTTCCAAAAGAATATTATTGAATATTATAACAATATTTTTTTCGAAATTTTCTTTAAACTTTTATAATAATATTTTTCTGTTAGATATTAAAAAAAATAAAACAAAAAATTTAAACAAATTAAAAAAAAATATTTTTTTTCAATAATCCAAAAAAAAAAAATTCGACAACATTAAGGCAAGCATCGATCCAATAACCTTCTGGTTATGAGACTACCACGCTACCCACCAGGCTACGCAGTACCTTGAATTTCCCTTTATAATTCTACATTTTATTCAGATTTCGTATAACTCTTCAAAAACCATCCTATTTACATTATATATGTATATATAGCTACTTCTCAGGTGTCAAAAAATACGAGTACTTCTAGAAGAGCTAGAGACATGGGACAAAAGGTATTAGATAAGGTTTTATCTCTAAGGTCCCGGAGAAAGCACTAATTCCACTCACCCTCCCCCTTCACTCTCTCCCAAAATGCTTTGTTACCGCTTTTTAGCACTTTCCAAAAAAATTTTGAAAAAAAGTGCTTATTAGTTTCACTCTGTATGACCATCCGCCCGTCCGTCCGTCCATCTTTCCGTGTGTCTGTTTAAAAAACTTCTACATCCTTGAAGATAGAAAGCTAAAATTGTATATGTGCATATACCTTTACTAGAAAGTTATTTCTGTAGAAGAAAATTTTCACCTATCTCTAAAAACTTAAAAATGGTATATTTTAACCACTTATTGCAGTGAAACCATAAGCATTTTTCAAATTTTCTTAACACATAAAAATAGTGGCAGGCTTCTTCTATTGCGGCATACCATTTCTGAACTTTAAAAAAACAAAATGGCCGTTAAAATTTACCATGTTCTAAAACCCGTTGCAACCAAATTTTTGATACAGTTTTTCATCTACACCATACGTTACAAGAGTCTGAAATTTTAGGTCTTAGATATTCATAAATAGTTTATTTCGTTAGAAGAAAGTTTTTTCCCATCTGCATCCCCTCGCAAGTTATCGGCTCTCGAAATTTGTAAAATTTGAATATTTAGCGTCCTTTATTTCATTAAAAAACATAATTATTTTTCTTAACTCACGCAATTAAATCTTAAAATCGAGCATCATGTTAACCCTTCTTTAAATTTGTTTTTGCTTTATTTCAAGAAAAATATCGTTTAAAAAAAACACGAAAAAATTTTTAAAAACTCATTCTTTAAACGATCGTTGTGTTTGAACTAAAACTGCTACTGAGTTTGTATACTTATTGAATAGTCATTGCACTACCTACTTAAGGGCATATCAGAAAGTACCGTCGTACCTAACACAGCCAAAGTTATAGTGTTTTTTCAAAAAAGTCAGCCAAAAAAATATTTGCTTAGAGCCCCGATCTCCTTAACCGGTAGAGGCCTATTAATGAACAAGTTCACTTCTTAAAAAGAAAGACTTGCTTGTTGGTATATATTAATTCATTTTCTATAAGACGTAAGCAAATATACGGCTTGGTATTAGGCCAGTTACAAAATATTATACGCCTTAGTATTAGGCTAGCAATAATGTTCCACTTAAGCATAAATGAGTTAAAGAGATACTCAAAAAAATATAAGAAATTTTAAAATTTCTTTTAAGAAATCGTCATATTAAATGAATTATCTCATAATTTTCAGTAAATCCTCCAAAATTTTCTTCAGGCTCATGGGATAATTAACAACAAATTAAAAGCAGGCAAAGAACAATTGGTTGCGCATAATTGGGAAAATGAACTAGATAAACTGTATATGACTATGAAAAATATAAAAAATATAAATAAATATGCAAACATTAAATAACATTATTAAAACAATATAAACGCATGTGCGCACTCATATACATAAATACACAGAAACACAAATCAAAAACCATTATGTATTTATATTTATGTATGTAGGTATTCAATACGCATAGAGAAAATACATTTTCTTAGTTGAGATTTTGGCTAGTTATTTTACTCAGATTTTCAACTAACCTGCTCCCCATTCTCGTTATTCTCAACCAGGATATTAGACATTCCAAAAGGATGATGCCCAGTAAATATTCAAATTTGCTTTTTTAGACTTTTTCACAATAGAATCGTACCTACATATTTTTACAATATGTACATACGTATATATGAAAATAAAAGTATAGTGGCCCTTACAATGAAAAAAATATGTAGTTATATCGTACGATACGCGATTTTTCTGATAGCAATACTACGATACTATCAGCAATACTATCAGAAATATCGTGTACCGTACGATATTTTTTTCATAATAAGGGCCAATGTTACAACAGCACATGCGTATGTTTTGACTCTGCTAACCTGAAAAATATGTGAAAATTTTTTTATTAATAAAATGTTACTGGAAAAATATCTTACTTTAAATATTATACATCAAAGTTTATTGTGTCGCAAAAAGAACTTCAAAATTTTGGCGATAGATAGTTATTACATTTTTGATTATAAACTTTTGTGTTGCAGGCCTTTGCACTATTCAATTTTTTTAAAAGAAATCGAAAAGAAAAGTGTCAAATAAATAATTCTTCACTTACTTCAGTTTTTTCTTCGTTTTAATTGACAGATTGTTCAAAGCTCACAATAATATAAACTTCGAATTTAAATTTAATTCACAATTTTCATGAAAAGTTCGTGGAGGCTTGAATAAAAAATAATACATATTTTTTTCATACCAAAACGCATCCAAGAAAACAATTAATGACAGGGTTTTGAAAATATAAACGTGATTTTTCAAATTAACTTTTTGTAACAAAAGAAAAAATAAAGAACAAAAAACGAGGAAAAAACGATAAATACATGAAATATTCTAATAAGTTACTTTGAAGTGAAAACAAATAAATATGTAATAAAACCATTTAATTAAACTATTATTCTACCCTCTTGTTTTGGTAAAATTGTATCAAGGTTTTTAACTTTATTTATGTTGTTAACTTGGTAACTTAACTTTAATTTGTAAACTTGTTTTGTAGAGCTTCAAATTTTTAGAATTTAAGATGCTAAAATTTCCTTATTTTGCTATAAAAAGTACACTTTGCCGGCACAATATATTTCCATAAAGTTATTTTCGCTTTAATGCACTTTTCCCTTTTTATTTCAAGAATAGACAGACAGCAAAGTTTGCATTTTCGCTCATATACAAAGAAATAATCGTCTAATTTTCATGATATTTTCTATTCCAATTCTGGCAATTAAAAATTAGGTTGCTGACAAAATGAACTTTTAAACTGTGAAGAAATCGGATCACAGAAAAACAATCTCAATTTACAAGAATCAAATTTACAAGTTTTTAGACTCATTAACCAAAAAGAAATAAGTGTTTATAGACTATTTTCATAATCTTATACAGCACCTTAACTGTATTCGGTTTGTTATGTGCTGCTCATCCCAGATTTTTACCAGCCACATTGCATACAAAAGGAGAGGTTATATGATGGCAACAAATTTTGCACATCGAGTTTTCGTTGGGAACGCACTTCTCCATAGTAGGGAAATGTAAATAAACCATTTTTAAAAAGGTATCGGTTTGTCTGTTTGTCTATGTGTGCACGCGTGTATCTCAAGTGCAGCTGAACCGATTTTCATGAAATTTTATATATAAGTTTGCTTTGGCTATGTCACGGATTGATCAACTTTTGGGATATATCAGGCGTTGGGAACTGGACTTTTTTGCGAGCCAATTTTAGATTTTTGCCCATAAAAGAGAAACAATCAATCAATTTCCTTGAAATTTTGTGTATGCACGCGTGTGTCTCAAGTTAGGCTGATCCGATTTTGATGAAATTTTATATGTAAGTTTATTTCGACTATGGCACGGATTGATTAATTTTTGGGGTATATCAGACCTCGGGAACTGGACTTTTTAGTGGGCCTGTTTTACGTTTTTGATCATTTTGTAGAAAATATTCTTGAAATTTCATATATAACCTTTATTCCTTCTAACTTTTGGAAGAAATCAGGTGTCAGCAACTGGACGCTTACTACGAGCCAAATATACATTTTTGTGTATATAACGAAAAATAATCAACCGATTTCATTGAAATTTAATATTTAAATTTGAGGTATTAAAACAAAGAATCTATAAACTTTTTGGAAAGATCAGAGCGCGGAAACTGATCTCTAGGCCGATTTTACATTTTTTTGCCGAATCTACGGAACGAATTGATGGAATTTCTTGAAATTTAATATTTGAGCTCTGGTTGTTACTAGAAGTAACTAACGATCTTTTCGGACGGCATAAAATAAAACTCTACTAAGAGCCATATTCACATTTTTCGGTATGTTAACTAAAAGCTTATTAGTGTACTTAAAATTGTAAAGAAGTGTTTAAAACGCATTTTCATAATCTAATGGAATAATTTTACTAATCCAGCCAATATACATTGCGGTTGGTTATGTACTGAACACATCAGATGTGTATTTTATAAACTGGGCAGAATTATCGAAAAAATTTGCTATAAAATTTAAACAGTTTTTAGCTTCACTTGAAATACAATCCGAATAACTTACTTTTTACTTTCACCTTGATTAGTTTTTATTTGATTGTTTTGATTAATCAAATTAATATTTCCATTAATAATTTTTTTCAATTCTTAAAAAAAATTTTGAAGTTATTATATTAAATTTGTTATTTTTTTTCAGGTGAAAAACCACATAAATGTCAAGTGTGTGGGAAAGCATTCAGTCAAAGTTCAAACTTAATTACACACTCCCGAAAACATACTGGTTACAAACCATTTGCATGCGAATTATGTCATAAGTCGTTTCAACGTAAAGTTGATCTTAGAAGGCACAAAGAAACTCAACATACGGATTTACGACCTTTGATTAATTGAAATTTTTTAAAATTTTTCTACTAAATAATGTATTTATTGTAAATATTAATACGTTGTATTTAATTATAAAACTTGCTTAAAATTCAACATTTAGAATTTATATGTTTTGAAAGATTTTTATCTGCAATTATAAAATTATAAAAACAAATCAATATTCAAAAATTAACATCTAAAATGATTTTTTATTGCAATTAATATACAAATAAACATTATGATATGTTTTTCTCTTTGTAAATATTTTGCCTTAAATAGAATTTACTCATAATTTGTGTTTAAATTATTCACTATAATTTTGTACATAATCATATGAAAAAACCCATAACTAACTTTCAAAGAAACACCAAAATAATTTGGAAGACATATGTATTTGACTAGAAAAATTATTAATATATTTAATTCAATACCCATACTTAAAATGATTACAGCAAAATTGGTATTTTATAAAAAAATTCACAAATTAAAAATTAATTTAATTCAAAACATATTTAATAATTATATAAAAACATGGTATATTGTTGTTAAATTCAAATGAAATTTTTAATATTTGTCTACATGAATAACAAAATATGCCTAATACCGCAACAATCACACATTCAACTGCATATCTTTGTAGTTTTTTTGGCTCTTTAATCGAATAACATTTAAGATATTTCTTTTAATTAATTAGTTTGAAATAATTTAATATAATGTCGTCATTTTTTATGTTCTTGAGCTATGTATGAAAGTATTTAAAAATGTGTATTTAAAATAAAAATAAAAAAAAGTTTTAATTTAAACCACTCAACATTTGCATTTCTTGGTTCTGCTCAAACTGTTGAATTGAATTTTTGATGAAAACTTTTGAGTGCTAGCTGAAGTTATCGATTAAATCTATGTATATATTTCTTAATTAAATTCGCCAGAGTCTTAAGTAAGTATATCAATCTTTTACACACTGGCTATGGAAATTCTAGCCGTTTTAGAAGTACTAAGAATTTGAAACAAAAAGCATTATATCATATTGCTTCTATAAAGTCATTTTAAGGTACCTTTGTTTTATGTGGTTGGTATTTATTTTGGTACTCATTTTTCCTGAAATTTCTTAACTGCCACAAATTATATTCCGGATAATTCGTAAGTATATGTATTCGTAAGTAAATAATTTATTCAGAAAATGCAAGCGATAAGATCCAGTACTTGTGCGGCAAATTCAGAAACAGCGGGCCTTACACTGAAAGCTTTCTAAATATAAGCCAAATACTTAAACGGAATGTACTTCGTTATAGGACATAAATTTTATTAATTACATTTCCAATGAAACTTATTAAATTTTGAAGTAAAAAATGTTTTCTTGCTCTATCCTTTAACTCTTATTGTTTCCGTTTATTTTTTTCCCTTTATTTATTTATTGATAAATATGATAAAAATTTTATCATATTGAAAGATAAGCCGATCACTTCATTGCAAAATCAATGGTTTGTAATGCTATAGCAATATTGCTTTGTATATTATATAATACAATCTTGCTTTTAAAAACAATCTGTGTGCTACATTACTTAAATTAGTTTCTTTCATATACAAATATATTTCAAATATTTCATGCATTAGGATAAGCAATGCATGCATTCTTTGAAACAAAACAAAAAAATCTGATGTGGTCAGCACATAACCGACCGCATTGTGTATTGTCTAGTTAAATGAAAGTGTTACAGAATATTATAAAAATGTCTGTTAAAAACTTCTTTCCAATTTTTAGGACATTAGTAAGCTTATAGTTAACATACTTAGAAAAATGTAAATTTGGCTCTTAGTAGAGTTTCGCTTTGTGCTACCCGAATTCCCTGAAATGCTCGCCAGTAAGTTTCGGTAACAACCAGAACTCAAATATCAAATTTCAAGAAATTCCATCAATTTGTTCTGCGGATATGGTGAAAAATGTAAAATCGGCCCGCAAATCAGTTCTCGAGCCCTGATCCTTCCAAAAAAGTTATATGTTCATTGCTTTAATATGAGGAATTCATACATTAAATTTCAATGAAATCGGTTGATTATTTCTCTTTATATACACAAAAGTGTATGTTTGGCCCGTAGTAAACGTCTAGTTGCCGATGCCTGATCTTTCCAAAAAATTTATATGTTCATTGTTTTAATACGGGGAATTCATATATTAAATTTCAATGAAATCGGTTGATTATTTCTCTTTATATACACAAAAATGTATATTTGGCCCGTAGTAAACGTCTAGTTGCCGATGCCTGATTTTTTGCAAAACATACGAATTTTTGTGAACGGTCGAGCTGAGCTTATATATAAAATTTCAAGTAAATCCGTTGAATATTTTCTTCAAAATGTTCAAAAATGTAAAACAGGCCCGCTAAAAAATGCAGTTCCCGAGGCCTGATATATACCAAAAGTTGATCGATCCGTGCCATGGTGGAAACAAACTTACATATAAAATTTCATCAAAATCGGTTCAGCCGAACTTGAGATACACGCGTGCACACACAGACCGACAGACGGACAGACCGACAGACAGACAAACCGACAGACCGACAGGTTGCTAAAAATAGTTTATTTACACTTCCCTACTATGGAGAAGTACGTTCCCACTGAAAACTCGATATGCAAAATTTGTTGCCATCACATAACCTACCTATTGTTTACACAATACGGTCGGTAAAAATATTATTGAGGCGTTAACATAATGTTCGAATTGAAGGGTTAATTGAACGAGTTAAGAAAAGTAATCATACTTTTTATAGACATGGCATTTACCGTTAGCTTTCTGCATTTATAGAAATTTGGGAAAAGCTATCGATTTCGGAAATATTAGTTGCCAAAAATTGGTGAGGTAAAAAAATATCTAAAAGTTGCTAAAATTTGAGACTAGAAGAAAAACGATATCAAAAATTTGTAAGAAATGGATTTTAGATAACGGTGATTTTAACAGCCATTTTGTTTTTCTAAGTTTAAATATGGTATACCAGGGTAGAAGAAGCTACTAATTTTCTATATTTGCAGAATTTAGAAAGTATATTTCTGGTTTTGCTACAATAATTACTTAAAAAATGCCATTTTTAGTGTTTTAAGGAGGAATAACTTTTTAGAGAGGGGACGACATAGGTAAATATTTTCTTGTACGGAAAAAAATTCCTAGTATAGATCTATATACATATGAAATTCCGTATGTACATAGATTTTTACTAGAAAGATTCTATCTTCTAGGTTATAGAACTTCTGTAAACATGTTCATGGACGGATGGCCAAAGGGAAACTGATAAGCACTTTTTTTTGTTAAATTTTTTGAGAAAAGTGCTAAAAATGACATTAAATTGCTTTTAAAAATTTGCATATTGAAATACATCTTTCAATTTAAATTTGAAATACGAATTGCAAAAAAAAATTTTGATCGCAGTTCATTATGATAAATTTTATCAAAAAAAATAACAAAATAAAAGCAAAAGAAAAAAACAAAAGTAAATGAATGTTATATTATAACAATTATTATTGTTATTACAAATTATAATCAAATTAAGATACTTTAGGTACTTTAGAAGCTTAAATTCATTAGATAAAGAAATAATAATTTTCATATCTTCCATTCCGCTGCTAATTTGCTACTCTGCAGTTTTTGCTACCATTCTCGCATGTAACTGTAACCTATAAGCAACTTCTCTTTTAATTTTTAATATACACAAAACATCGTTTCGCCAGTCGCTGTGTTATGTGAAAAACTCAAAACGCTTGAAATCAAATTTTTTTAACTTTTTTAAAATAAACATGTCCATGTAGCGATGTACAGGTGGATATAATGCATATTATATATTATATATTATATATTATTATTGATTACCATTATATAACATAGATACAATTACAGCGCTGCATACGTTTTTTTCTAAATTATTATACTTAAACAAACTCTGGGTTGACGAATAAGTTTATCTGAATCATTTATAGTCTGGCTTATGAATACTGTAATTCATTCAGAAGCTAAAAAATGATTTAGTAAAAAAAAAATCTGATGTGGTCAGCACATAACCGACTGCAATGTGTATTGTCTAGTTAAGTGAAAATGTTACAGAATGTTACAAAAGGGAATTCGGGTAGCACAAAGCGAAATTGTACTAAGATCCAAATTTACATTTTTCCACGTATGTTATCTAAAAGCTTACTTATGTCCTAAAAATTGGAAAGAAGTATTTAACAGACATTTTTATAATATTCTGTAACACTTTCACTTAACATTGCGTTTGGTTTTGTGCTTACCACATCAGATTTTTCTATTATAAAAGTAGTCATAGTACAGCTAAATTGATGTTTTAAAAACAAGTGTTCATAAAAATTAAAATAATTATAAGTGTTGAAATTTAATATGTATGTAAAATAAATTAAGGAAATATAATAATTATGCATTAAGTAATAATATAATTATATAAAATAATAATTTAAATAATAATAAGAAATATAAAGAACATATTTAATGTGTTTAGTTTTTAAATAAAAACATAAAATGGTCTTCTTGCCATAAATGCAGCATGAAGCCATATTGGTGACCCCTACTAAACAACCGATTGAATTATACCCTACACCTTTCGTTATTGTGTAGCAATTACTCGAACCTGTGAAATTATTTTATAGAAACTTCACGGAAATGTCTGACCTATAATTGGACATCCGACTGCCAAGTTTCATGAATCTGACTTTATAATTTTTCCAAATATTTAAAATTAGCTTTTGGAGTTGTATGGCAAGTACATGAACCTGTCAAGAAATTCCATCAAAATTTCACAAATATATCTGATCTATAATCGGACACACAACTGCCAAGTTTCATGAATCTGACTTTATTATTTTTCCAAATATTAAGAATAAGATTTTAGACTTGTATAAGATCTACTCGAACCTGTCAAGCAATTCCACCAAAACTTTAGAAATATATCTAACCTATAACTCGACATACAACTGCCAAGTTTCATGAATCTGACTTTATTATTTTTCCAAATATTTAAAATAAGCTTTTGGAGTTGTATGGCAAATACCTGAACCTGTCAAGAAATTCCATCGAAACTTCATAAATTATCTGAACTATAATCGGACACACAACTGCCAAGCTTCATGAATCTGATTTTATTATTTTTCCAAATATTAAGAATTAGCTTTTAGACT